AGCCCTATATAAAGTGGCCTCTGTTTCTGAGCTAGCCGCCTCTCTGAGCTACTTGGCTCCGGGAGTGCCGTCTGGCCAGACTAATAAAGGTCTATTTGCCAACTTGCCTGGTGTGTTCCTTCCTGGGTGACTCTCGCTGTCCGACAAGCTCCTGGAGCCTCGCTGAGCTTCTGAGCCCAGCACTGTGAAAGCCTCTTGGCTGTTCACGCTCCAGGAGTAAAAGTGAGGCTTAAGTCTTACAGTGTAAGGTTGAGGTTTTGGGATAAATCATTCCTCCGAGTCATAGACAGATTAGTAATGGGTCAGACCATGTGGAGGGGCAGGGACACAGAGACGATGACGGGTAGAGGTGAGAAGGAGAGTCAGTGTGGAGAGAAAAGCAGAGGAGGTCACAAAAGGTGGTCTCCCCGCCAAGTCCCCCGTCCTCAGCTGTGGGCCCTCAGCTGCGGAGTGCTTCCCGGACACCTGCTGCACTTAAACTGCATCTTGTCTGCTCCTGGAGACACTGGCCTGCAACAGGCCCCGGGATCTGCCCTCCTTGGTGGTGAACCTGCAGCCTCCTGGCCTCTGCGAAGGTCACTTTGGGTGCACGAGAGCTGAGCATCTTAACATGCTTAGTGCCACGGACCCTTGCTCAGGATGTCTTCAAATACATAAAATGCACAGGATTTGAAAAGAAAAAAGTGCAGCTCAGACTTCACTTGTGTTCACTGTCCTTGCTGTACACTGCTGTATGGGACTGCTTGGAAATGAAACTTCCTCCATGTGAGAACAACTTGGAAGCCTCGTGGTTTACAGTAAGAATAACAAAGCCACAGGGCGTGGTGGCACATGCCTGTAATCCCAGCCCTTGGGAGGCTGAGGCAGGAGGATCACGGTGAGTTTGAGACCAGCCTGGGCTACATAGTGAATTCCAGGTCAGTCTCAACTACATAGTGAGACCCTTTCTCAAAATACAAAACAAAACAAAAAGAATAACAAAGCCATTCTGAGTGCTTTCTCCATGTCCATGTCTAACCCATCACAACTCTGCATCGGTCCTGTGGATCCTCTTTTCCCAGATAAGGGACACGTGACTTGCCCGAGGTCACAGAGCTTGGTATGAGTGGCCATACAAAGACCAAACCCAGGCACTCCGACCACTTCAGAGCCCGTTTCCAATCACACCACACCCCGCCTCTCCTCTGGAGGTGGGAGGGGCATCTTCCGGGCTGCACACGTGGGTACCTGTTCAGCCCAAAGCCTCTGGCTAAGGGAACAGACTTTTGTCTTGGCTGCCCTTAGCTTAACTAGGACAGGTCAAAATATTCACAGAAGAGGGAGACAAAAGAAAATCAAACAAGAGCCCAAAGAACTACAGTAGAACCCAGCTGAAGCGGCTCCACTGCTCAGGCTCTGGGCTCGCCGTGCAGCCGACAGGAGCTGGGTCTGGGCTGAAACGGCACCTCCTCCCTAGGTGACCAGCACCGTGAGTGGCCCCACCTTACAAGAAGACCGATTCCGTAAGTCTAAACAAAAGCAAGCCAAGTTCTGACACCTAGAGATTCGGTTCTGTGTAGAGGTCCAAGAGTGGGCTGCTGGGTGCTCTTTCCTTTTAGTGACTCATTTTTGGTCTCACCACGTTGCTTCTATTCACGTTTTTATCGCACTGGCCTTGCTTGCACCCCCTGCCTTGGACTGGTAGCTCTGCTTTCAGAGCCAGCCGTGCTGCTGCGCCCACACTGTGGCCTCCATCACAGGCCCTGTGGGTAACAACATGTCACAGCCAAATAAGCAACGCATCTGCTGGGCCTGGACCACAGTATCCATCCCCAGCCAATGCCAACCTGGACGGTACCCAGCTCTACTGCTGACTTCCGAAGAAAACCCTAACCCCCGGCAATTCTGTCAGGTTTACGGGGTAGAAAAGCTAGCCGTGTCACGTAGACTGCTTCACTTTCAAAGCGTTCCCATCATAGACAAGCACTTCCCGTGGGTCTCCCAGGAACAGCTGCCAGGAGACCTGCCTCTATCTTTCTACTCTCTCCGTCCAGCCTTCCTGACGCCCCATGATCCGTCCTTGCTGTCCAATCCAACCCTCCTTGCCCCTCGCCCACACAGTCGCTCAACCTTCTTTAACGCAGAGCGTCTGTCGGAGCCAGGTTCTCGGCAGCAAACACACCTCCCACGAGTCTTACAGAGGACGTCTCCTTAGCATCCACACTGCAGCCCAGAGAAGGCTCAGCAGTGACCCTGTCTCAGATACAGAAAGGTGCAGGGATGTAACTCAGAGTGAAAGCCCTGCTGTACGTCCAGTCCCCAGCGTGTGTGTAGTGGTGACAGGGAGAGTCTGCCAAAAGCTGTGTCCCAGCAGACAGAGAATGTGAACCCAGGCACACACAGCCCACAGCCCGGGTTTGGTTTGCCTGCTTTTTTTTTTTTTTTTTTTTTTTTTTTTTTTTTATGTGTGTGTGTGTGTGTGTGTGTGTGTGTGTGTGTTTGTGTTTTTTTTTTTTTTTTTTTTGGTCAATTCTTTGGAAACCAATTATCTATCCCCAAAGCTATTAAAGCATCTAGCTAGGATAAATAGGTCCTGCCCATGAAAACCAGTTCTCTATTGTCAGACATTCCCTCTGAATCGATTTCAATAAGCTATTTTAAATGAATGCCAAGGAAAATGCACAGCACTGACACATGGTAATTATCTATGAGTCTCCATTTTTAATGTCTCTGAGAAGAAAAAAGTAATGCACACATGGACAGATGCTGACGAGAGCTTTACAAAGACATCAAAATTAGGGTATGTGGTAGCGTCGAGTCACCTGACTATAAATCTGCTTGAAAAGCAGGTTTTCATCCCAGTGAAAACAGACACCACAGGCTAGGAATTGGCAAGGGTGAAACTTCTACAAGGCAGGGCCCAGAAAAACAGGAAGTGGCTAGAGTTGGGCCTAAAAGCTAAATCAGACTCACTTAGCTACTAAATATTTAAGGTCAATTTTGGTGATTGTGAGAAAAGGAGAAACAGACAACACGGCTTTTTAGACAGAGTGTTTTGTTTTGCTTTTGACAAATTACAGAACTATAATCCCACTTGAAAGGTCACTTAAAATCAATCATCCTTATTGAACAGAAGAGTAAAAACATCTAAAGGTTTTAGAGCTATTAACAAGAGCTCACAGCCCTGGGCCTGTGGAAGGGTGAGGGCAGTCTACTTTACTTACAATCAACAGGTGATCTATCTTTTTCTCTCTGAGCGCTGATAAAATCCTTGAGTACTGACTATATCCTCCATGCTGGGGTTATTACAGAAATTAAAATATATCTAGCACAGAACTGCTGTAACAAGTTCACCTTATATTTCAGCAAAGGCATAAGTTACTGTCACATTTTAAGATTTCTGGAATCCCCCTTCCATAAGTGCAAGTGATCTTGCGCTCCGTGAAGGTGGATGGGTGCACCCCGTATCTTGTGCACCCGTGAATCTACAGCGTCCAGCCCTGAAGCTGCGTCCCTATTGCTATTCAGCAGCACTGACTGACCTAGTGCCAACCACAGAAAAGGACCACCTTGGGCTTAGAGTTGACAATGGGCTGAGAAGAAATAAGGAAGCCCAGGCTACTGACGGGTAACGCAAAGGGAGGAGAGTGGCTGCCTAGACCAAGGTCTCCAACTCATGATCCTGTGCAGCCCTACACCAAGGACCCCACTTCTGCCCTGGTAAAGAATGGAACCCAAGGGTGCTCTATCACTGCGTTACAGCTCTGGCCCTTTTTACATTTTATTATGTGATGGAGTCTTGCTAATAAGTCGACCAGGCTGGCCTCAAACTCATGATCCTTCCGCCTCAGCCTCTTCAGTTCTAGCTGGGATCACAAGCGTGTGCCACCACAACTGGCTAATAAAGGACTCTTCATGTGTCTCCCTAGACTTGTCTTTCACATTAACAAAGGACGCAACAACTGGAACTGGAAAAGAGGCGAATCACCCTGCATCATCTTTACTTTTCTTTAAAGATGCTCAGATTAATATATATGCGCACTTCTAACCCATCAGGGAGAAAACAAGCTGAAAAGAAATCTGAAAATAATCAATTGGTGATTTTACATTTTAATAACTTTCTTGGGAATTGACAGTGAAGAATTTCATCAAAATCATTACAAACTTACCTATGCCAACTCAGTGCTTCAGAAATGTACCTGGCTCTTTTGATAAATATCAGAAGTTTCCAATACTCAGAAGCAGGTTAGAGCTATGTGCTCCTTACCCCCAAACGTACTGTCAGTGTCAGTCCAAATTCCATCACAGTACCGTGAGCAGGAAGAACCGCAGACACCGGTCCTTTTTTAGCAGAATTTCTCCTTCCGTGCTCAGGCACTTAGAGGAGCATACTTTTGAGTCCACTCAGGAACACACACCATTCTCAAGGTAGCAAGAATAAGGCTCACAGTTGAGCGGAGAACGTGGTATTCCAAAAGGCGAGGTAACCACAGACTTCACACACTGTTTTTATGGTGTCAGGACACTGGGCCCAGCAGGTTCTCGCTCCTTATGCACTCAAGGCTGGCGGGGTCCCGACCATCCAGTTTACTGATGAGAAATCCTCAACATCCACTTGTAGGAATAAATGTGGGTGCTCTAAGTCAAATTATGCTAGAGCCTCCTTAATATTAAAATCATGACTCTACGATTTTAAAAGGAATTACAGTGTTCTTCAAGACTCTGCCATTAGAAACAATTTGACAGGTGGAAATTTATTGTACCTACCTGTGTTATATTCAATCCGAACCACAACCTGGCATTCTTGTTTTACAGAGGAGAACACTTTAGCAGATGGAGAGAAGTTAAGAAAGGTGGCCAAAATTGCAACAGGACCCAGCATTCGAAACTGGCTGGCTCCAAATCCCCAAATATTTTCCTGTTTGTTACTTCACTCAAGCCCCAAGACAAATTTAAAGTGTTCGAGTACACAATGCGAAATAACAAAATCACACAAACACATCACTTTTCCTATTTCATACCTTTAGTCCTCTGAAACTTCCTGGGCTGGTTGGAGAGGAGCTGGAGGATTTTGTAGATTTAGGAGTGGAAAGTTGGCTGCTGGGAGTTCCATTAACTGACCACGAGACAATAAAGGAGACAAAGATAATCAAAACCTAAAAGAACTAGCTTGTGTGACACCACTAAACACATGCACAATAATGCTCCAATAAAATTTCAGTTTACTTAAAATAAAGCTCAAAGCAGATAGCAAATCAGCAAAAAGCAAAAATAATGTAATTCATTGCATTACAGAAAAAAAAAATCAGACACAGAGCGCAACACTTTCAATTAATCATTTTCCCACGGTGATATAAACAAACATCTAAGACTGTGGAATTAGAGGCATGTGGGAGAACTTGTCCACATATCCTGGCTCTCAGCAGGTAAAGGGCTGGCTGTTATGCTACGATTTACCAGGAAGGTTGCTCCGTAAGCTCCAATATGCACCCACTAGCTTCGTGTTCTCCTACCTGAATGACAAGTTCTCACAGCCCTCTCAAATCAATTATACCACAACCCAAACAACTTTTCTAAACACACTTGTTTTACTGAAGACTGAACCCGGGCCCCACACCTGCTAAGCACACGGTCTACACAGCTCCACCCTCCAAGTACGTTCCTAATGGAAAGGGGAAATTACTGATTGCTTCCTTTAATATTTATTTATTGGCTTGAAGCTCATACAAAGACACTGAATGTTTTAAAAATCTCAGCTAGTTATTTCTAATTCCTTCCATCTTGTTTCCCTTACAGCTTACTTTCCTCATTACTTAGAAGATCCTGGTAGTTTTCCTACATGTCCCTCCCTCCAAACCTCTGTAAACTTCCTTGGTTGAAAGCCTGATTTGGATTTCGTGTGAGGAAAAGCGTGGCTCACACTTCAGAGGGGGTTAACTCGGATCCACAGGCCACAGACTGAATGTCCCAATACCACCCATGCTCACCCGATCCTGTCACCTGGATCTGCGTCTGCTGGTTACCATCCAGCTTGAGTATTTTTTTTCTGCTCAAAGGAGTACTTGTAATCCCTTTTATTAGTAATCCTCAAAGCTCTTGAGTGAATACTGCCATTCATCTTTATGGATACAAAAGCAAAATCCAACTATCTTTTTTAAAAAAAAAAAAATGAGAGTGCTAGATGATTCTAATAAGTATAAAAAGCCTAATGCAGAGATAAAGGCCCAAAAGTGAGTACCAGTCCTTAAATCTAGGTAATCTGGATCAAGAAATAGTTAGGATTAGGTAGATTATCTGGAGACAGCTATATCTGTACTCATAGTCATTATTATGTTGTTCACTTTAGAAACTTGGAAAATGTGACATTTTTCACCAATCTTTACATTTCCAAACTTTAATTTTTCTAACTCTAAATCACTCAGTTCAGTTCTCTAGATTTTCTTAACAAAATTATGTGGTGCTTTGAGTACAAGTAACTACAAAGTTAAGAGCATTTAAGAGTATTCAGCAGCCCTTATTATTTCTCAGTTAAGTTAATTTCAATTAATGTTATTGCTTTTAAAAGTTTTTAAAGTAAGTAGAACATAAAAGCAGTGACACTACCTATCTGTATGACACCGTACTGCCATCCTAAGATTTTTCCCAAGTCCCAGCATGTACAACACCAAGGGTGACCGCCCCTGCAAACTGTGGGCCTTAGATGACAATGACACACTGTAACAAATTACTATTTCGAGCCAGGCACAGTGGCACAGGCCTATAACCTCAGCACTCAGGAAGGCTGAGGCAGGAGGATCTCAGCCTGGGCAGTTCAGCAACTTAACAAGATCATCTCAAAGTAAATTAAAAAAAAAAAAAAAATTACAACGGGCTGGAAGTAGAGCTCAGTGCAAAGGCCCTGGGTTCAATCTCCAGAACTGCAAGAAAAAAGAAATTTTTAAAAAAACTAGAGCCACTCTGCTGGGGTCTGCTGATAAGGCAGGAAGGAGGCTGTGCAAGACTAGGGGCTGCAAGTACACAGGAAGCCTGCACCTTCTGCTCAATTTTACTGTGAACTTAAAAACTGCTCTAATAACTGGTCTCTAAAGTAATTATTTCAAAGGATTCACATGAACTAGAGATTTCTGTGGACGATAAATTAGAAAGCTTGCTGTGAGCCAAGACTGAGCTTCATTTTTTTCCTTGCTCGTCCCACACGACAATCTGTCCTGGACACCAGCTCATTATTAGCCCTGTGAGCTTTCACTACTATTCAGACTCCATGCCGAGAGCAAAGGCTTCCTTGAAAGGGGCACAGAAAAGGGACGAAAGGGGAGAAACTCTGTTCCTGTCCATGGCTGTATCTCTAGCAAACAGAAAATCCATTCCTTGCGTAAGCACAGTATCTTAGCGAGACTCACTGCCAGCCCTTTAACCCATGCCAGTAACAACCACGCGGCCACACTGCCCGCAAACTCACACTCACTCTACAGAGACACTGGCTGTGTGCAGCGCCGCACTTCTCAACAAACCTGCAAGGCTCTAAAGAGTGTTCTCTTTAGAATGAGAAGTCCCGACTTTCACTTGTGTGCATGTTTCTCTGCAGTGCAGGTGGCTGCACGGGACTCTGCACAGCGTCAGGTGGCATCAGCCACAGGACCGCAGCCCACGAGCAGCAGCCGGCATCTCTGCAATGCCCACCACTCCTCCCTCCCTCCACCTGCTCCTGATTTTCCCTCCTAAACCTCATCCCCTTCTGTTCAACAATAAGAAAGAAACGGGGTCGGGGGGTGTTTGTTCCTTTTATTGGCTCTGAGCAATTTTTATTTTGCAAGCCTGAAACATAAAATAAGGATTTTTAAGGCTTAAATTACAGTACCAAGCCCTTGATGTTACCCAGGTTAATGTCTATTAGCTATTCTGGTAGGGTTTTGCTGAAGGATTTAGTGAATCAGAAGACTTTACTCCAAACAGCACTTTGGCCCTGGGATTAAAAGGGTACCACACTATGTTTACAAAGTTACTTGCTGTGTTGGAAATTCCAATCAGTCCCCTGGAATTCTTTTCTTTGAGCCACTGCCAAACTGGCCTGGAACTCCAAGGATCAAGTGACCCCCCTGCAGGGGTGTACCAGCAAGCCAGGCTTTCTTGCAAGTTTTAAAGTGACAACAGGTGTGCCTCAGCTACAGCAGTCTGTAAAAGCAAGTAACCCTACTTCTAATAATACAAACCTCATTCTCTCCACTGACAGAGAATGGAGAAAAACAGTACGTATGTAGAAATGCTTTGGATAATAGGAGCAGATTTCTTAAGAATCTCAGCGAAGTGTCAGTAGTTGGCTCCAGCTTGCAGAATTCTGTAACTGCCGCTAAGTGCTGACTATACTTTGATTTAAACTCTTAAAAAGACCACTGGTCCTCAGAAATGCGATTTTAAAGAACCACAACTCTATCCACACATGCATTCTGTATATGCAGAATGCTACAGTTTTCCTTAGTCAGATTTTAGCCACACCAAATTCAAGTCTAAAAGAATCATTTATGCAGAACAGTAGGCTCATGACGGAGCCATCTGTCTGCGGGGCAAATGTGGCAGTGAAACATAGTTCAGCCTGTCAATTTTCCTCTCTGGACTGTAGTGGATAAAACTGAATTACTTATATCTGATTTTTAGACCATTCTCTCCACTTTAATTATTGTACTGATGTGATAAGCGTTTATAAGCCTATCCTTAAGACAAAAGCTAGGAAATCTGACAGAAATCTACATCCACCTTGTGCTTTTCCCCAGGTCATTGTTTAAGTAAATTTCACATATCAGCTTCCCTGGTTTTAAGATATTTTACAGAGAGAGAGCCTAATACAATTTAAAATAAGGTCAATGGCCAAGAGACACATCTTTAGTTAAAATATTATAAAGTGTCGACTGTCATATGTTCAAAGAGAGTATGGAGTCTGTAACTTTATGAAAATAATTGTTTGAAAACTAAAAAGTACAGGTCTGCCTTTTTAAACATACAGGAAACACCACATAATCCCATTCTGGCAGATTCTATTAGCCAGTACTCTGAGAACCCAGAGCTCTAAGATTTAAATGATTCCCAAGCACTTAATCCCAGGAAGGGAATGGAGAAAAGCAAAGTACACTTGTTTCCATGTCCATTTTGGGTCACTAACACACACTAGCGCTTTTTCAGTAGTAAACATTCCTAAGATGGAGTAGGACACTGCCCCCCTGGAGGTGACGCTGTCTCCTCAAATGCTGCACCTCAACTACACACAGATCGGCAGCCTTCTGATCCCCGTCCCTGTAATGAGGAGGCGTCGTCTGCGCCCTACACACTGAGAAGCATTCCATGCTGCACAGATGTACACTGGAATAAGCCAGATACACTCACGGAAATGGAGCAAAAGGAAACAGAAATGTGGCGAGAGACAAAACAAAACCCAGCACAGCGACAAAGCCGTAATGCTCATGGCTCACCTGGGGATTTGGCTGTAGAATAGGCACTGGAGTAGTGGCCACCTCTCTTTACTGTACACATGCAGTATATACAAGCAGAGGAGACAGTAAGGAGAGTGGTTATTCAGCGATCTACATGTGTACACAGAAAGAACAGCCTGCCCTAAGGAGAGAGACGAGAGGCGGGTGCAGAGGGACCCAGAGCAAAGGGGAATGTCCAAGAAAGTCTACAAAGCTTGATGTGCAAAATGGTTTTCACCGATACTATGCTGACGTATTCTAGACATCACACCTGGAAAGCAGATTATACTTAATTATTATACATAAACCCACAGAATTGAGTTTTTGAGATATTTATGCAGGTTTTCAAAGTTTAAAAAAATGCCCATTCGAAACTGTGACAAATCTGTAGTTTTAGGACCTGAAAGAAACTTAATCAGAGGAATATCTAACTCTTAAGTACTACTTTCCAACAATACTCATTGCTACTATGATATTGCTCGATGAAGGAAAGGCCAGCAGATATTTATCAAGTACATATATTTCTGTGTGAAGTCAATGTTTTACACCAGAAAAGATAATGTTAAGAAAATAAATGTGGTCAAAATGCAAAACCTTTCCTTGTAAATAGCAGAAGGCTGTAGATAGATAATAAGGGTTCTCTTGAGAACATAAAGAACAAAACCATGCAGGTCCCTCAGGAGACTCACAACTTCAGAAACCAGACCTAACTTTTTGGTTTTAAAAAAGTCACCTTCTTCTATGTGCTTTTCTGGAACCTGGCTATGCACAAGCCCAGCACAGACTCCTGCTTCACAGACATTCAAGAAACCTGAAGAAGGACCTGCCAGTGCTGTGAGTGGCCACCGCCCTTCCACTCTTACCTGAAGCTGGTGATTTGCTGCGACGAGAAGGCCCAGGGCTTTTGGATCCAGAATACTTCACAGCTGAGGATCGAGAGTAAGACGACTTCAGGACACGGCATTCTGAACAGGAACAAAAGTGCATTCAACACATCCGGTTCTACGATTTACTGTGTACAAACACCACAGACAACTTCACTCTCCTCGGGAGGGGTATCACTGTGTAGTTCAGGCCACCCTCAAACTCAGCCGACCCCTAGTTCTAGGACCGCAAAAGAACACCACCGCAGCGGCTGTCTCACAGCGCCACTGTCATACTGGGATCAAACCCACGGCCTTGCCCGTGCTAGGCAAGTGCTCCACTGGGCTACATCCTCAGCCCTGTTAAACAGCTTTGATATACAAAGCGCCCAAACAAAAGTACACGGGAGGCTGTCTTCAATTAGGTCACATGACTTGCGACACTGGCTCCCAGTTCCTGATGAAGTTGTTGGTGGACACAGAATTCCGGATCCCATCTTGATACACAGAAACATCCAGGGACTGACCTGAATGTGCGGAACTTTTTTTTTTTTAATAACATTCAATGAATTATTTAATGTAATTTTAATACTCATTGTAAGCTAAAGACAATAATAATTTAATGCAATAAGCTAAGTACACACAAAAGCTGTATGTCCTGAATTACACAAAGGAGTTTCAATCAAGTATACATTTCCATAATGAGCAACTACATACAAATATGTTAATATAACACTATTCCAAATGCTTATTTTACCATTATTCTTTTAGGCATTGATCACCGTTGTTACTATTAAAAGCATTTAAATTTAGAATCTTTGATCTGGGAAAATTAGTTCTCCTAAAACTTAGCAAATACCTGTAGTATGTTAGAAGCCAATAGACTTTTACATCAACAAAAGCTTTAACACAGGAGCACTGACATGAAATTTGTTTTGTCAAAAACAAACACACAAAAAAGTTATCTTTAGAAAAGACAGTAAAACAAATTTTCTTACAAAAACTTACAATTTCCTACACCCTCTCCTTACACACAAAAATGATGACTGCTGTCTAAAAACTTCAGAATACATGAAGTACATGCCTTAGCTGTCAGTCAAAAAGGCCACTGAGATTTTACCTATTAAACAGCTAGCATACAGCTTATCATGGCATGAATATATCTACTATATAAGACAAGTTTATTCTGCAGACAGTCCAAAGTCAGAAGGAACTGCATGGTTTGCAGTCATAACTTATATGTAGTCATTAATACATAACTTATATGTAGTCATTAAAATCTAGTAAGTAATTGAAGTATGGTCATATAAAGGCAGGCAGTCAAGGGCTGGAACCAAATGATCTAAAAACAAAGACATGAAAATAAAGGATGAAAACTTGTGTTACTTCCTCTCATGTACATGCCTAAGCATCAGGACAATACTACAGAAAATAAACATATACGGTTTCCATAGAAAATAATGACATTTCAGAAAGTACACAAGGTGTCAAGACCCATAGTTTGCTTCATCAAATGCTTCTCTAGCTCGTCTCAAGTCTTCATTCATAGTCAGCAAGTCTTTAATTCTAGCAAATTTCCTCGGGTCCTTTCGAATCAGGAAGACGGTATCTTCGACTTGTACTCGACCTTGTCTTCCAATGGACATTGCCTTGTGAGTCATTTCAGTGATGAACTCTATGACAAGGTCTTCAAGAATATCCACTGACTCGGTCTAAGGATTCTGGTCATCTCCAAACCCATACATCATACATCGCAATTCTTTAGAAAAGTCTCTTTCTTTTACCCTGTCCACCTTCAGCACTTCCTCCAATTTCTTCATTTTCCTCCTCAAATGTAGGATCTTCTTCCTCATCTGCCATCTCACCAGCCAGCAAAGACCCAGAGCCCAGTGTGTGGAACTTTTTAAGCAGCAACTCTGACGAGCAAAGACTATACGGTTGTCATCTTCTCCAGCTCCGTGGTTTTTATTGTGTGAATGGATAAAGGACTCCAATTTACGGACCCCTGACTATCTTATTGTCCATCTTTCAAAAGTACAGTGCACTAAACATGCAGGAAATTGCTTTAATCAATAATTTTAGTCTTTCCATAAGTTGCCAAATAAAAGTGTTTACAGTATCAGAACTAATTACAGCTAGAATAATCTCTTCTAATCCGAACATCTGAGAACAGGAGCTTCAGAGTTGAGTAGACTCTGGATGAATCATGGACTTGACATTGCTAATGAGGAGGAGACCACAGTGTCTTCCCTAAGAAAGTGAGAGAAGACTAAAACCTGTTTCAGAGTCTTGTCATGAGAGTTAAGTTAGATAAAATATTGCCCATAAAAATTTAAAATATTTTAGGGCCGGGGATTTAGCTCAGTGGTTTGGTGGCCTGCCTTGCAAGCACAAGGACCCGAGTTCAATCCCCGGTCTCAAAAAAAAAAAAAAAAAAAAATTAAAATATTTCAATTTATGAAGATTAAAATGTGAGCTGGTTTCTAATTTGTATCCCGGGGGAAGTGAATTCACATGTGGAGTCCACTAGTCAGGAAAATAACACACGGGGAGGCTGAGAAATCTAATCAAAACCTTATACAAAGGGAACAAGGCAACTTCCACTTAATTAGCACACTGAATGTCAGAGAGCCTGCTGCTCTCAGAGGTGTGGTGAGGACCTCTCCCAAATATTTTAAAGGCAGGCCAGCTTTTACGAGCAGCACAGGTAAACATATGGAGCAAATAACCGGGGACTTCGGAACTACACCCAGGCTTAGAGTCTGAGCCACTCCTGCATCCAGCTTTTACAGAGAACTTGTAACTTAGCTAAGATTAGTGTAGCTGAATTCTGCGTGTTCTGAGTGGATCTTCATTGCAGGATGCTGTCAGAAGCTTAACAAATGCCTTACTCTTGTTACTACTAACCAACCAACCCTGGAACATATCGTTTGGTTTCGATGTCTCAACTTTCAATGTGATGACTATTGCTACCTAAGTATTATGAAGCTAAAGCTAAAATTAATAAAGATATGAAATACAGTTGATAACATCAGGCAGAAATTAAGACATTAGCGAGCTTAGGGACAGGGGGCTGAAAGTTAAGGGAAAAGCAAAGAAAAATTCTCCCTTTATTTTCTTAATCTTTAGCTATACAAAAAATCCAAACAAGCTCATGGTTTCCAGCTTTGGTCTAAGAGCGCGTAAGCTTCTCTGAGTCTACTGATGAGACCCAGAGCTTTCATAGTCCAGGAAGGAGTGAGGGGCTGCGAAAACCCCAAGGCCTCAAAACAAACTAAACAGACCCATTCCATAGGGGCGCAAACAGGAGCCTTCTTTCTCTTCTCAGAAGCTGGTTAAGTAACTCATTTTCCCTTGTAAAAGATCAATGACTTCGGGAAGGAAATGACATCCCTGGAAGATACATTCAATCACACCAACCCTATAAACACAGTCTGAGCCCTCCTTTGGGACAACTGGCATACTGGTGCATGCCTGCCTGAGTGCCTAACTCTGTGCTTCCTTCTCCAGTGCTCTAAAAACTACCACCTCACAAGACAAGGTCCACATCTGTTCTTACCTGTGTCTTATCTAAATTTTCTCATCAAAGACACAAAGAACCAAGCAGCCTCACAGGCTTCTTGCTGTATTTGGACCCGGCTTCCTGGTGACAACAGGTAAACACATATTTCTGTAGAACTTAATCTCACAGCACAGGGAACAAAAGGATGTGACCTACAACTAAGGCCTGTATACTGACATTACCAATTTAAAGTAGCGCCTCTTCCATAGAACACAATACAGAGACCCTTAAGGAAATACAGCAGAAGTGAAAGACAAAATGGAAAAAAAACAAAAGGGGAGGCAAACTGCAAGGGGATGAGTAATTGATACAGTACAGCAGGAAAGAATGACACAGATGCTTTAATACTACACAATGATCATCTCACATTTTAAGAAGTCATGACAGGCATGGTGCTACACGCCTCTCATCCTAGCACTTGGGAGGCTGAAGCAGGAGAATCACAAATTTGAGGTGAGCCTGGCTATATAGTAAGTTTAAGGCCAGCCTGAACTATATACTATGAGACTCTGTCTCAAAAAAACAACAACAAAAAAAATCAAATTTTAAAAAGCACAGGTATCACTATTTACTTGGCAATACATTTCTCTAATTCTGGACTGACAACCTCTACAATTCTAAGTCGCTATCTTTCATCTACTTTTATTACAGACGATAGTCCTCCAACGTAACAGTGAGATTGGATCTCGAAGATCGCTCTCCTCTGAATTGCTACATTTGCATAACTTTATCTCATTTAAAGATGAAGTTGACTTTATCATCAGCTGAAACAACTGCTATTGGTGTAATAGATTTAAATAAAGACAATAGTCATATTCATTGAATCAGTAACATTTGAAATCACTTAGATCATTACTAAATAGTTGAAAACACTACATATTGACAAAAATGAAGAAAAAAGGACTTTTTCCATTATATCCACAAAAGAGCTTTATCCCCACAAATATATAGGCAACGTATGGGATTGGTTTTATGAAAACACTGTGAAGAAAACAATGAGATAATAAAGATCCTCACATTTAGCAATTTGGCTAGCACTCTTTTGGCTTATGTATTTATGGTGGTGGGAGCAAACCCAGATACTGCACCCCTGAACTACCTCCCGGCATTGTTTTTGTGTTTGTTTTTTGTTTTGTACCGGGGATCGAACTTAGGACCTTGCACTTGAGGCAGGTGGTAGCACCACTGAGCTAAATCCTTGGCCTGCCAGCATTTTTTTTTTTTGAAGTAGTACTGAAGATTGAATCCAGAGCTCTCCAGCTAAATCCCCAGCTCTTTTTATTTTTTATTTAGATACAGACTCTCACAAAGTTACTAAGTTTTCAGGTTAGGCTAGAATTTGCAGTTTTCCTGCCTCAGCCTCCTAGAGTGTCATGGCCAGGAAAGGTTATGAAAACAATCAATGAGTGGCCTCACTTACCACTGTGATCCAGGACAAAGTCATCTTGGGCATAACGGAATTTTTCAGGTCCACATGCAATAAAAACATCATCATCACCAAAAAAGTCTTGCAGACAAGTAACCTGGAAAAAAAAATCACATTCGAAAAATCAGAAACATTAAAAGTGAAATAAAGAGCCAGGAAAAATGAACACATTTTCCATCCTCAGCTGTGATACTGTAGTGGGATGGAGAGCTGCTCCACAGCACACATTTCCAAGCAATCTGCCTTCAGGAAGCGCTGCGGACATTTCTGGATCTCCACAGACAGAGGAAGAGTTCTCAGCGCATATCGGTCCCCGCTTCACACATCAGAACACTCGTGCAAGGTTACGTGATTTCCCCGTTTAGTGTCCTTTTCTCTCGAGTGTGACCTCGCCCTGACTTCTCCGTCCCTCTGGTGCTCTGAGCACCCACACCCGACAGTGGCTCACAGCGCCATCGCTCGCTGCCTGCTGAGTTCCTTCCCATCCCTGTAGCAGCACCAGAGGGAGCCGCCTCGCAGCGGGCAGGAGGCCCGGCCCCGAGGGCTCTCCCAGGCGCGCCCCCAGGGAACAGTCTGGGTAACGCGTAGCTTCGGACCCCCGGAGAACTCGCTCTTGACCCGCGCAGCCCGCCCAGAGGCACCACCTTCCCCGCTGGCTCTACTCCACCTGCTTCTCAATGGGCTGCAAAAAAACGTGTGTAAGTGCCTCATTTCCAATAGCAAAATGTTTAAACACGGCTGCCGTGCTTGAAAGGCCCGCGCTATCTCAGCGATCCTGTACGTCTTCCTGATGATTATTAGCTTTTGGGGGGAAAAATGTTTTTCACTGTAGAGTTCAAAAACAAAGCTCCAGACAGACAGTGGTTAGATCCAGTGCGGACGGCACGGGTCACAGGAACTAAATAACTCAGCGGATGCGCTCTTTGCTTTTCTGCAAAGCCAGAATGTGGACACACAATACAGTCGCCAGTGAAGCTGGAGTGCGTTGTAACTCGTTTTTCCCACTGCTCATCTGGCAAGACGTGGCCTCAACAGCTCGGGCCACAGTGTGGGAGGCTTTCAAGGAGCATCGTTTTACCCGGGGAGTCATTTAGTTCTCTTCTCCCACAAACCCTCACATTCGGTCTCCTTACCCAGGGCTCCTCCGGGGTCCACACGCACGCCCCTTCCTGCCTGGCCTCCCGCTCCCGGTTATCAAACCTCCGGGCCCACGGTGCGCGCTGGTTTCGCCCAGTATTGTGCAGTCTGTCACCTGCGTGCGGGCCACTGCAGCGTCTCGGACCCTCCTGGCTTCTCGCCCACAAGTGATCCGCCTGGGGGCTGACCCGCCTGGCCCCCACCTCCTCTGCGCCTTCCTTTCACTCACTCGGCCACCGTCAGGCTGGGTCCAGGTACCATACCATTCACCCATTCAAGGAACTCAAGTCAGTGGTTTTTCGGGTATTCGGAGTCGTTCGCCCATCCCTGTAATCCTTTTAGAATGTTTTCATCTCCCCAGAAAGAAGGCCCGCGATCCACTTGTCTCTCTGGTCTTGCCTGCTCTGGACATTCCCTGTAAACGAAGGAGGCGGTGCACGGGCTTTGGAGACTGGCTCCCCTCAGCAGGCACCACACTTGTCCGTCCTGCGGCACGGGTCGTCCTTTGCTTCTTTCTAAGGCCGTGGGCCCACTGCCCCTGTTACCCGCGCAATACGGCTGGAGCCCTGGGCTATTCCCCCACCTGCACCGGCTCTGGACCCCAGGCTTCTCCCCACGCCGTCCCGCAGCCCTTTCCCGATGCGACCAAGGAAGCGTCCTGTTCACCATTCCCTGGGGCCTAGTGAAGCTCCTGCTTCGGTGACTGGCAAGGAGCTTCGCCTCCTGAAGAACAACTTCTCCGGGGCGAGTGTACACAGCTGGGGTCCCCGTGCTATCGCTACCTCTTCTGCCTCGGCCGGACCGAATTACCCACCGATACCCTGTCCCAACTCTCTACGTGAGGTGCTCTCCTGAAGTCCAGCAACACGGAGGTCCACACCTATTCGCACTCTCCTCACTCGCAAGCAGGTCAGCCTATCCCACGAGGGAACCGGGCCCTAACCCACGCAACGGATGCGCGCACAGGAAGTCTTCCGCTTCTCACATCTCTGCTTTCGTCTGTTTTTGTTTGGTTTTGGCTGTGCTGGCGATGAAACCCAGGCCCCTGCACATGCTAGGCAAGCTCTCTTCCCCTCAGCTGCGTCCCCCTGCTCTGCGCTTTAACCTGAACACTGCTGCTTTCCCTCATCTGGAATCCCATGGTTCATTTTCCAACTTATGGTTCCCATTCATTTTACGTTGATAGCCATTTGTGTCTGTGTTACAGTTCCAACTACTTTTGTTTTTTCCATACATTTATTCAACAAATGGTTTGAATCCACCTTTATTTCCTTGGCCAAGTAAAACAAATATCTACTAAAAGAAAGTTTAACTCAGCTTTTTAAGAAATAAAAATTTTATTTGCTTTTGTAATCAAATTAGAAAGAAACTTTCTAAAAATATACTTGAGTGTCTGAAAAAAAGTTACTTTTTAATTGATCCCATTATGAGGAAGTATTTCAACTGGTATAAATTAGTTGGCATTTGACTAGAATGACAAAGTTTATGTAAAATAAAAATATTTAACCAGCCTCAGGAATAGAACACATCAAAGTGACTTATTTTCCACAGCAGTTCTACACAGGGCTTCCTAACCTTCTTCTTTAAAGATTTCACCTGTCAACTTAAGTTTGGATTTGTAGTTGTATGTTTGCCTCCTTTGATTCAGGTTGTAGTCACTGAATACATATTTGGCTAAACAGTTCACCAAATTATATGACTTTCAATTAGGTCAGATATGCTTTAAGTCACCAACGCTCTGAAGAAATGACAGCTTCCAGGAGGCTGAAGCAGGAGAGTCACAAGCTTGAGGCCCACCTGGGAAACTTTGTAACTTAGTAAGACCCTGTCTGAAAACAACAACCAAAAAAGGGGATAGGGGTATAGTTCAGGGCAGATACCCTGGGTACAATTCCCACTACAGTACTGTTAAAAATACAGATAACCATCAAGTGAATAAATGTTACAGCTGAAACGAACAAAACACACATCCCCATTATATTATAAATCTTTACTGAGGACAGTGGCATACTTCCTAAAATATGAAACCCTTTCCTCCTCCATTTAGTCAAAATATATTTAGCATTTAACTGCTAAGTACTATACTAGGTGCTAGAGCTATCAATAAACAAAGACAAAAGTTCTCACCCTCATTGAGCAGATATGGGGAGAAACAAACAAACAGAAGGCAGTTAAGGGAAAAGGTCAAGAGTGGAACGGAGGGCTCCAAAATCTCTTATCCCCAAGGTGACTTCTGCAAAGAAAGGGAACATGGCTCGTGGGGCACCTGTGGGAAAAGCCCTCCAAGCACAAAGAACAGAATGTACAACAGCCCTGTGGGGAGATTGGGCCTAGAATGGTCACAGGAAGCAGCAAAGGAAAGTCCCTGGAACCCAGGGAGAACACAGCAGAAGTCATGGGAGGAGCAGAGATCAGAAGGCACAGGAAGGCAAAGCAGACTCTGACGGCCTTGGCAGCCCTCAGCGAGCACAGCTTTACTCTCGATGGGAAACCACGGGCGCATGCACAAGAGGACTTGTGTGAGGAGGGTCTGTGTGAAGACTACGCTGTGGGAACTCAACAACCTCAAGAAACCAAATCATCCCATTTAGAAATGGACAGGTGATCCGAACAGACACTTCTCAAAAGAAGAAATACAAATGACCAATAAGTCTGCCAGAAAAAGTATCCAATATCACTAGTCATCAAGAAGATACAAGCGAGGCATCATCTCACTCCAGTCCGAATGGCTGTCACCAAAAAGAGCAAACAAATAAATGCTAGTGAACATGCAGAGAAAGGCGAATTTTTATACACTGTTCATGGGAACATACGATAGGTAGTATAGCTGTGGAGGTCAGTACGGGAGTTCCTTAAAACTGAACATGGGACCACCATGCTAGCAAGCCTACTTCTAGGTATAGATGCAAGCAAGACAAAATCGGCACATCAAATACCCGTCCGTGCTCCATGTGCACGGCAGCTTCGCCACAGCCAAGGTGGGGAACCATCGGTGGAGGGCTCCATCAACAGAGGAACCGAGAAAATGTGGTACGCATCATTGCACACCATGGAATGTTACTTGACTACAAAAACAGTGACATTCGAGTAAATGGAACCATACATATGGCACACTACAAACAGAACAGAGGTACGTGATGGTGAGCGTGACCAAAGGAGCATCTAAACCAATACCCACAGAAGGAGAATGGGCAGATCTCAGTTCTGTTTTCATTGTGGTCATCTCTGAAAGTCCTAAAAGGTTTGCCGTTACTGGTTAACTCACTTGTCTGTCTAAACTATAGGCACCAGCCTGTGAAACATGAGCTGACCACAAGCCTTTTCTGAGAGTGAAAAAATACACCTCTGAGCCTGCCACTACACACACATATACACACGTGTGCACACTCATGTAGGCACATAGACTCGTTGGACCAAATACTTAACCCGAGATTGTTCCTCCAACTGTAAAGCCCACAAGAAATCAATTCCACTTAATCTACAAAGATTACGTATGACAACGTGTGAAAGCTGTTGTTGCGCTATTTGACTGATTCATTGTCTCAATCATTTAAGAAAAATATACCTTAATGGATAATTCTTTCCTCTAATAAACAAGATAGTAACTAACACATTTAATAAGTTAGGCATTTTCCCAGAAAATACCACTGACAATGTGTAAATACTTCACTGATAGCCTTTACTTGTACATAATTATAGTCAACAAATTGAGATCGTTTTACTTCATTTCGTTGCAGTTGCGGGGATTAAACCCGAGGCTTTCACACTGAGCTACATTTCTAACCCTTTTTATTTTATCTGAGATGGACCCAGGCAGGGCTTCAATTTAGCATCCTCCCACCTCAGTCTCCAAGAGTGCTGGGATCACACGTATGCATCACCATGCCCAAAAATCCTACACAGAAATGTGACTTATATAATATATACATGCTTATATGTATTCATTAAAGAAAAGAGTCT